AATATTTCATTAGTTTTCATGATAATACCATGAATACACCGCATGACTAACATGTCATTTACTCATAAACATGTACTCTTATGTCCATGTACTTTTTAAACTTGCCAAGCTTAAAATTATTTGATAACAAATTCTTATCAAATATGCAATTGCTACTTATTTATGTTCATACTATACGAGTTTCACTAATTTTTCTTTTGTCTCAAAGACAATTAACCTCCTAGTGGACAATGCTTCATTAATGCCCGAGGTTCATTTTCTAACTCAAAAATTAGAAAATCAAAATCAATCATTTGATTTTCTCAGCTCTCTTTTATTGAGCGTTTGGTTATTTATCACTTTATAAATGACCACTTTATCTCATAGAGAGATATATCTTTAGCTAACAATTTGCACTTAATAAAGTGCATTAAAGCTCATTGTCAATATGAGATAGTGACTTTTCACCTCCATATACATTAATTTCTCATTCACCCCTAGTCGAGTTTGAGAAATTAAACACACTAGATTTATCTAGTCAAAGTGTAGATTTTCATTCCATAACTTATCAACTGGAATCCACTTAAATTGTTTGTCAAACTTGGTTTAAAATCCAATTTTTCAAACACATTTGCATCAAGAATGACTATCTTGAGCACTTTCGTACTTAGCATATTCAATAAATATGCATTTCAATATTTTTAGGCCTTTTAAATTTGTTCAACTTAGGTACATTTACATTAGTCAAAACACCCCCACATTTCTATGGTCCAAAACCTTTATGTGGTAAAGTAATGAGAAAGTGGTGAGCCATAATATCCCCCACAAATTCTAGCTTACTCTAGAATTATCAACATGGCTTTCTTACTCATTAACAGTTCTAGTATTTCATTTCTCAATACTTTCAACTATGGTTGATAAGGACTAGCGATTTGATAAGTACAAAAACTTGTCAAAAAATACTCCATGTCATCCATGTCAATCACTTTGAATAACAATTTTTATTCATATACCATGATCATTCTCATTTAAATGCTTCTAAGGCCTCGTTTTTGTTACTTAACAAAAATACATAATAAAATTTTGGTATAAATACCACAAAAGTAACAAATACTTTTCTCATAAATTGTACAATCTGTTAAATCACCAATGTGTGTTTATTTTGTCTTAATAGAACACACTATAAGAAACTTCTCAAGATACTCAAATCAAGAAAGTTCTTATCAAATTGTGACAGTTTGTACACAATTCAAATCTAGAGTTTAGAAACTCCTACCGTTCACAATATAGAAATATTGATCCAACGGTGCAATTGGCCACAATAATCTCTCGTATAGAGATTGTTTGACATTTTCCGTAAGAAAAAACAACCATTGTTGTTTACAAATGGATCAGATGTTCAACATCATCAAATTCATTCATAAGGTATACTTATGTCTTACGAATACAATATCCAAAAGTCAAGACGATCCAATTGATCGATCATCTTCGATGTTCTTTTAGAGAACAATTTCTCAAATATTCCTTTAGAAATTGAGCTTCTTGAGTTTCTATTGTATATCATTTTCAAATATTACATGCCTCTAACTGCACACGCATACAAAATTATCATTTTAAAGATAAAAGTGCATCAACTTGATATTCAATATACTAAATATTGAAGTTAAGCATAATAATATCACAAATAGCATGAATTCTCTATGATATAACATAACATTTGGAACTAATCGTGGGCTTATAAACATACATATATGCACGTAATCATAATTAGATAATTCCAAACATTCACATGCATCATATAATTTATGCATACAAAATACTTATATGTACATAAGCATTTCAAGATTAATATGGAATAAATAATCCATTTGCACATTTAATAAACCATTATTCGATTAAACATCATTATTCTCATGCTAAAAATCATTTATATCATAGCATAAATATCCATATAATTTAATCACGTACTACAACATAATTTCCAATTCATAAAATTATGCTTCAACAGACATATATTATATGCTTCTAATTCTATGTATTTATAGACATCGACGTCATATAAATAATATAACATATAAAAAAAATATTATTATATGTTATCTCATGTATGCGACAATACTAACATCTCATAATATTATGCACTAATTTAATATAAATAATGCATATGAATTTCAGCAAAATCTCATGCATATATCAAGATTAATCCAAGCATCTCTACATATCAAAATAGCATTCAAAGTATCTAGACATGCTTCAAGCATAACAACATTCAAGATTTATCATGCTCTAAAAAATAATTTTATCATGCCAATTATAACATATAGTGCAAATATTATTACGCCATAACTTTATCATGCAACATAACCATGTTTCTATCTCATATAATACCATATTATTTATTATATAATATTATCACTTAATTGCATGAGATACAATGTTATAAATACAAAGGCGTACCCGAAATAATTATAAATGTGTCGTTTCAAACTTTTGGGACAAATTTGAAATTATCGCATAAGGAATGCATCGGCAGTTTTGGCATCACTGATTAACTTAATCATAACTTTAGCATCCGATGTCCGATTTTATTTATTCAATATGATCCGAATAGCCAACGAAATTTCCTACAACTTTTGTCTTTCACAGTTTTCTAGATTCGGTTTGGATCATGATCAAATTAAGCCTCCAAGTCGAAGTATGTGTGTTGTACAATGGAACCACGAAAATATTATATAATATTCAAGAATTGAGAATAATATAAACCTCATCATATTTAGGGTATGATTCTATCATTATTCTTGGAATTGGTCTTCTTTCACCAAGATTTTTTGCACCATAAAGTGTTAGAGACGTGTTGGTACGCCGGGGTTGCATCGCCTCATGAACGGTTGCATTCTTCATGAAAAGGTGTGTTGGCAGTTTTGGCACCCTTTCGTATTTTCGTCATAACTCCTCCGTATGAACTCCGATTTGGATGATTTAACATGTTCTGGAAAGAACACTTGATTTTCTGCAACTTTTGTGAAATGGTACTTTTACAGATTCTGACCGTATCACCTCCGAAAATGGGCTGGAACATAGACATTGTGTTCTGTCCGAAAATGACATTTTCCTCCAATTTGATTTTGTAACTTCTTGGATTTTGAGTAGTATATTTTCTTCTCTATCTCGAAAATACAACTAAAATTTTTTTTTCTTAAGATTGTTATTTGGGTGTGTGTATTTTGAAATGGGAACGAACAAAATTTGGACAGAAGTTTGACAATAAAAATGTAGTCGAGGCAAGAGCTAGGTTCTTTCTCCTTAAGACAAATTTGCCCCGTGCAATGCTCTCGGTTTACGGCAATTGTCTCCCAAGATACAACGACTATTTCAGTTCCAACAAAGCAGCACAACAATTATTGGAACACGGCGAACGAAACGACGTTTAGGACTTTATAAGACACGAAGAAAGAACTTGGTAATGCAACAATATGCAATGATATGTTGTGACGAGAAGTGAATTCAATAAATGTATTGAATTCCATGTGAATAATGAACTATCTCAAATGGTGGATTTTGGAATCTATTTATAGATTTTCAAAGGTTGTAAGGAGCCGTGCAAGGGAGAGACCATCACTGCCTGCCTCTTTCACACCCCTTTTCCATTAACCACACACCTATTCAATTTAATAGGTGCTTAAACACCTCCATCTTTTTCAATGGTGGCATGGCACTTTATTATTTTCCACACTTAAATATTTTAAATGTTCCATTAATTTATCATTCATCAAAATTAATTTTGAGAATTTAAATTAAACCACTTAAATATTCAACAAAATTTGAGTCAAATACTCAAAATTTCCAACAAACATTTCCGTGTAATATATCTTCCATCTTTCATGTTAAATGTCATTCTTATGTATTTTATTATTATTACTTTTTCCCGATAAAAAAATGTGATTCTTATTGATGCATACTAATAAATATGTGCTATTCATAATCAATTTTTAAAAGTGCATAATCACAAAAATTCTTTTACCAAAAAAATACATTTTTTCGTCCCTTACATGTTCCTTGGTTTCATAATTGGTCCTCCTGATGCCCAAAAAAAATAGGTTTAATCTCTCATGTTTCAAAAATTTAACAATACTTTTGATCATTTCCGTCAATTTATTATTAGTACTAACAAAATCAAGTATGTTTCCTTCAGTGTCTTAACAAACGGAGTAATAGTAAATTAATAAAAATGTTAAATAGTTGAAACATGAGAAAATAAATCTATTTGTTGGAACATGGCCGGGGCCCAAATATAAATTGAGGGGCCTTTGTGGGAAGGAAAATGTATTTTTTTTCATTCCTTTACATAGGATATTTTTATGGAACACTCGGTCTATGAGATGCTATATCAGGTGAAATAATCTGGATGATTTTAAACCGTAGATCTATACAAATAATCACTCACTAAACACACATACACATATGTGTGTGTATTATTATGTATAAATCCATGATTTAAAATCACCCGATGTATTTCATCGGGTGTAGCATCTACAAAACCGGTCCACAAATTAAAACCCTAGCTAGTTCAAAAGTTCAATAATTATACTAAACTCTCATTCGAGAACTTTATGTCATTAATTATAAACTCAAAATTAATGAGGATCCATTTAACTTAAATTGTTCAGACAACATGCAGTCCTTGTCTTTAATCTTTAGTGGAGGAAGTTATAGAACCTTAATCAAACACCATTTATATATATATATATATATATATATATATATATATATATATATATATATATATATATATAGAGAGAGAGAGAGAGAGAGAGTCTCATTTCTAAATAATTTTCTTTCCCTAATTTAAGTCTTTATATCATATCTATTTTTCCTAAAAAAAATTGTAGTTATTAGTACAGGATTTCAAATGCATAATAACAAATTTATCGAATTCGTTAACTCGTTTTTATGCTACTTTATATTCTAGATTATTAAACCTAGTAAGATGAAAATCTTGAATTTAATATGTTTAATTATAATATCCCATATATTATAGGCCAAACTATGAAGTAACGGAGCTAACATGGGAAAACGGACAACTAGGGTTGCATGGACTAGGTGGTGCTATTATTACTCCTCAAACTACTAAACATGATAACCAAACTTGGGATGCTGCTGGTAATAATAATAATAACAATAAACCCGCCGATCACACTCTCGAATCCATCGTTCACCACGCCACTAATTTCCCGCCACAACAACAAAATTACTCAAGACTGCCGCCTCCGCCTCGTCCCACTTCCTCCGCCGGAAAATGGGGTGGTCATGATCATAATAACTTGAACTCCTCCTCGTCATCCATGGCGGCACCGCCACCGTGTCGCGGTGGAGAATGGAGGTCTTCGTCGTCGGGGGTTAACGGAGAGCGGAGGCCGGCGAATGAAGAAGATAAAGGGGTGAAGATGCAGAATATGATTAGCTCGATGGCGGCTTCTTCTTCGGGAGGGAATAATAAAAGGGTAAGAACGGAATATTCCGATAAAGTAGTACAAGTGGAAGAAAGCGCGTGCGCGAGCGCGAGTGCAACCTTTTGCAGAGATGCGGATACGATGATGACGTGGGCTTCATTTGAATCTCCCCGGAGTTTGAAGCCTCCTACAAATGCAGATGATGATTCTGCCTATCAAGATTGCTCCGTAAGTCTAATATTATTGAATAATAATAATAATAATAATAATAATAATAATAATAATAAAGTGCTTATATTTCTTTGTGGTGATCTCCTAATTTCGTTTATTTGATTTTTTTTATTATTTATTAATTTTAAGTTTTTAATTTGTTCGTGTAAAATGGTTTTGAATTTATTGACTTTTAATCAATGTTTTGAAAACCGGACCGGACCGGCCGGTCCGACCGGTTCAACCGCGAACCGCCGCCAAGTCCGCTCCGGTTACATGTCAAAACCCGAAATGCTCAAAAAACCGGGTCAACCCCCAAAAATCCGGTTCAACCGGTAAGAACCGGGTAACCCAAAAACCAACCCGAAAACCGGTTTTTTGCTCACAAAAAATTTCATCGTTGGATCTACTTCGTGGGTTACTGAATCTTGACGGAAAGGTTGCTGGTGAACGGATCTAGGTAGTATGTGACCCAATCTAAGTGGTGGCTGCCATAGCTATCCACCAAAGAAAAGAAAACGAAGAGGGTGAAAGTGAAAATGAAGAAAAAAAATGGAAAAAATAATTGGAGAAAATAAAGTATATATTTGGGTGATGTGAAGAATTAAGAATAAACAAGGAGGAAGAGAAGAAAAGAAGGAAGGAAGAAGAAAAGGGGATGGGGATTTGTGACTGTGCGTATAAACTGAGGAGGAAGAAAGAAGAAAGAAGAGAGAGAGAGAGAGAGAGAGAGAGAAAAGGAGGAGTGAGAAGAAAATTAATAATTTTTAATTACTTTATTATAAAGTGACGAAAGTGGAAATATAAAAATATATAATATATTATATTTCAGGTATTAAATAAATAAATTAATCATATATATAAAAAATGTAAAAAACCCGGTTGGACCTCGGTTGAACCGGTCCAACCGTGACCCGGTAGCTTGACCGGGTCAATATCCGGTCCGGTTTTCAAAACATTGCTTTTAATTTGTGTGTGTGTGTGTGTGTTTTTATTTTTTATTTTATTATTTTATTTTTATTTATTTTTCTGGTTTGTTATGAAGTACATGATTGTTTTTTTCCCCAATGATTGAGTGCATGTCTGGATTTAATCATAGTTGCACATTTGCAATAGTGATATGGAGACTAGTGTCTCAACTAGTACAGACATATGCAATTAATTCTCACCTATACTCAATACTGGCTTTTTAGATATATATGCTATGTTTTGTCAACTTTATCGGCTTTTCAAAAAAAAATATATATATATATATATATATTCTTTTTACATACATCCATATGTATATATATGCCACGTATGTTTTCTTTATTATTGATAGATGTACGGTGTAAAACTATACGGTGCATTTTATTAGGTGTGCATGACGAATTAATATTTACGGAACCAACATAAAGTTTCGTTGTTGACTTCATTGAACATTTGCAATTTTATTTCTAAAAGAAAAAAAAAAACATTCGAAAATACTCGTTTTTAATTATAGAGATTAAATGCTGTGAAATTGATGGTATTTTTTGACAGGAAAACCAGGACGGAGAGCGCATGACTAAAGGGGAAAGCTTCCGTTCACAATCATCGGCACGGCGTAGTCGTGCTGCAACCATCCATAATCAGTCGGAACGGGTAATTTAATTAATTAATTCATAAATACAAAATTAATTATTAATTATCTACATATTATTGGTCACACTATATTATTTCACTCATATAATTCCTAATTTATAGTTCAATAGCAATTACTTAATACAATTTTTATATATGCACAATTTTGTATTCGACGTTTATAGAGACGAAGAGACAGGATCAACGAGAAGATGAAGGCTCTTCAAAAATTGGTACCGAATGCGAGTAAGGTGAGTATTTACTAATTAATTAGATGCATATAATATATAGGTTCGTCGAATATTGAACATGGTTTTTTTTAAATAAAATTGTAATTTTTTTTTTCAGACCGATAAAGCGTCGATGCTCGACGAGGTAATCGAGTACTTGAAACAACTCCAATCACAAGTCCACATGATGAGTAATGCAAGAAACAACATGCCACAAATGGTGATGCCCAACATGGGAATGCAACAACTACAAATGTCTCTTTTGGCGCGCATGGCCGGAATGGGAATGGGGATGGGGATGGGAATGGGAATGCTCGATGTCAACAATTTGGCACGGAATCAACACGTCCCGCATTCGTTCCCTCAACTCATGCACGCGGCTTCGCCTCTCGGTGGGCCCGCCCCTTCGTTTGTGACGTCACCGTTCAACATGCCTCCGGTGATGCCCCCTCAAACGAATCCTTTGAAAGCCAACGACGCGTATAACGCATTCATCGCACAAGTGAGTAATTATTACTAATTATACCGTATGATTGAAGTATATTATATATTGTAACTATATAGCTTATTCGAAAAATAAGATGTTGAAGTGTTCTGATAGAGCGAAATCATCGACCTTTAAGGATATAGTGACAAACGTACAGTTGGAATAGTCATAATTAAATGAACTTGTTGAGATACGTTGTTTTTTTTATTTTTTTTTTATTTTACGAAAGGCTTATATAAGCTCTCAAATAACTTATTTTTGAGTTTTATAAATTGTTTTCAAAAAGTTATAAATTATTGTTTAAATGCTTATAAACTTGTAAACAACTTATAATTTCAAGCAAACGAGTATTTCTGTATATATAACATATTTTATGCACAATAAGGATGTATTCATAAATTTATAAAAAAAAATATTTACTACCGTGTGTTTATTTCTTTAGATATAATTTCTTACTCTTTCTTTTTATTATTTCTTTTTATTATGTGGTCATGCAACATTTAATGCAATATGTACAAGAGGTTTTTCCCACTTATTGATCAATTATTATAAAAAAAAAATACCATTTTGAATTTTTGACTAAAATTTTGGTGTTTAATTTTAATTTAATACAGCAATCAATGAATATGGATTTCTTGAACAAAATGTCAGCCCTCTACGGACAACAGGCGGCCAATCAGATGCCAAAGAAATCTGCCAGCTCATCACAGCCAAACCATGGTCAAGGAGACTGACAACTATACTTTAGCAAGTACAAAGTATTGAAATATTTTTATATATATTATATAAATAAACCTATATGTATATGGTTCAATGTATCAATTATTCTTCATTTGTTATATATTACATATATCGATTTCCAAAAAAAAATGTTTTGGACACTTAGAAAAAATAATTAGGGTTTTGAACATGCTTTGAACACTTGATATGGATGTGTGAATTTGTTATATTTGTTAGTATTCTTCATATTTCTATTTCTCTTTTTCAACTTAATGTATTTTGTTATATTTACAGTTAAATCTCTATAAATTGATATTGTTGGGACTAGGGAGTGATAAAATTTTATTAGTTTAGCGAAATATTAAATTAGTGAGATAATTATCGAGCGCGTTGTCATCAAGTCAGGACCGTAAACACTTATTATTTCAACGAGATTAATAATTTATTAGTAAATATGTTATATAAAAAGTAATATAGATTTGAGAAATGTTGGAGGGGCCATGACCCCTCTCTGACCTTATACTTACCCCGCCACTAAATTTCTACTGCAAATGAAACAAATATGGCACAATGAGAAAGCTTTTGGTAAGAACACAATTAAGAGTTAGTCACACTCAAGTTGGAGAAGATAAGGTTTATAATTCATTACATTAATATTGTGGGAGTGTGAAAAAACCAAATTGTTTTAATTTTCTTGGTGGTCCTAAATATAAGCTAGCCTCTTTTATGAGCATGGTGTCACAAATCCATTTAGGGCCACTAAATAGGAATATACAGCTTGAAAGGAATATGTGTGTATCCTTTATGGGTGGATGGGTTTTCTATTTTTCTAGAAAAAACAAATATAAATAAATTAATAATATATAACACATAATATGTTCATGATGTCGATTATTACATTTTGTTTTTTGAGAGAGATTATGGTGAATGAAAAAATTTAATGAATAAGTTAAGTCATTGAAATAAATTTTAGGAGGTGAACCATTTATCATTGTTCCATATTGAGAACTGAAATACTATTCATTACGAGTTTTATGGCTTATAGTGCGACTTTATTTCATTTGTAATTTTTATTAAAAAAATCAAAATCCTCTCAAACCCTCTTCGAACTCTCGCTAGTTAAATGAGCAATTTCGACAACAATTTGAGATAAAAATTACTTCTTTACGTAATTCTAACGTTTTATTGTTGTATATACTTAACAAATTACGTTGATTAGAATAAGTTTATGATTAATCGAAAAAAAACACACCTTTGTTTCGTGCTACGAAGCATGAAATAGACTTCTTCATTTCGTGCTTCGTAGCATGAATAAAGGAATTCTCAAAATTTTGGTTTATTTTGTGTATATTTACACTAAATTGAAGCATGTGTTTTGTGTAAATTTACACGAAATAGTCCAAAACACATTGTCATTTCGTGTGAAATTACATGAAATTCAAGGTTGCATTTCATGTAATTTCATACGAAATGGAACAACATTTAAAAAAAAATCATTTTGTGTAGGACTACACGAAATGCATTAAATAAAGATGAAAATCGACAAAAAACGTGTTTTTTTACCTTAAAATCGGAATCGTTTTCGGCGATATTGATAATTGTCGTGTTCCAACTGATATTATCACAAAAAAAATTGACGATTTGCAAAGGTCTGCTACGGTTAACGCCAATAGCAAATATTTTTTTACCACGGTAAATCCTCGTATTTACAAAAATTGATATAGGACGCATTGTGCCATGAGAAATGTAATTTGAGGATGTACTTCACCAGTTTTGTAATATTAGGGTGCAAAGCGCCAATTAGAAATAATTATGGGGTGCAAAATGCAAGTCACCCTTATTACGCGGGTATGTCATTTTCAATGCCAGAAATATTTATATTCAACGTTTTATTAATAATATTAATGTAACGAAATTGACAATTCATCACAATAAATGATTTTTGACCCACCGTGGGATTGAGACGCTCTCCAACAATGTAAATATGCACCACCAGTGTGTGTGAATATATGATACTGATTTTCCAAAACATGGACCAATATATCTTCTTTAAAAGATTTCATCCACGTCATTGATTGTGACATTTATATCACACGTATGATTTTTTTTTTTATTTCTTTTGTATATGTTCTTTAGATACTGACTAGGGGTGGAAATTCGGATAAAATGGATCGAAAATGACTTTTTTGAAAGAAAAATATTATTTTTTAACGGAAGTAAAAAATGGGTTCCAAATTCCTTTCCAAAAATTCATTCTGATTTCGGAATATTATATATTGACACACACATAAATATTTTGTGTGATTATATTCAGATTAACGGTTAAAATCATCCGATGTAAATCGCATTGTCGACAAGAAGAACGAACTCAAAACAACTCGGATATATTCAAATGTAAGGGCGACATGTCTTATCAGTATGGTTGCAAGAATAATATTAGTATGTTAGGGAAATTGTATATTATTCTTAAAATTTAAACTATTTGACATTAGTCTCTGCTTTACAAATTGCATCTAATAACACACTATCTGCAAAATCATCCTTTGTTTTTATTTCTCTTAAAATAAGTTATTGTAAGCCTAAAGCCATTCTTTTAACAATACCCATATACTTATGAGTTCTAATTAAGTTGATTTTCCAGCATATTTGCAATCACCCACAATTTTTAGAAATAATCACATAATATCCACTTAACTCACAATCACTAACTTTCTGCAAGTTTTTACAAGCACAATCTAAATATAAACGTGGATACTGCAATCAAAGTTCACAACGTCAACCCTTCTAAAATCAAGTAGACCGGAATTGATTTACTTATAAATTTTCAATTTTCAATCCGGTTTTAATTTCTTTTTAAATAAATTTTCAATCTCTTTTATCCAAGTAACATTTATAATATCAATATAATTTTAGGCTTTAAATTACACACGGGTAAAAATGATTTTGACACGAATTGGAATTATTGATAAATTCTGAAAAGAAAAAAGAAAAAGTGTTTATTTTTTTCCGAAAGTTCTAATTCCAATCCGAGCTCCGCCAAAAGAAAATTGCCAAATCTTCAAGAAGATAAATGAGGTATAAAGCTTCCACATTTCCCAAGAAAAGAAAAATATTAGCAATCACAGCAAGTAACAATAGATGTAACAAGCGGGGGCTGCATTTTCCTATTGCAGATAACCCCCAGCTTACAATGATATCTTCAAAAGTATATACTGTATTTTTCTATCAAGTCCAGTTCAATATTTTTCACCTACTCGGGAGGACTTCTTCCAGAACCTAAATTACGAAAAATAGGCTCATATACATCCACGTATTACAGAGCTTTTCCCATTAAATTTAAAAATAAAAACGGAATTAGAAGCTCTTAGCAAAACTTTGAGTGCATACGCAATTACGGGACATACAAAAAATCTTCAAGCTTTGTTACTCGAATAAACCATCATCGAGATTTTAGTGAAGCGTGACCGGTTTCTCCCAAATGTCTATGCAATTTATTCCTGTTACAATGATGGTAAGAATTTTAGGGACTGGAAAACATTGAATTTTGACAAGTTGAACAAATAATTATCCACGCATAGTACAAAAGAAGATATACCTTGTTTCAAATTCTTCGCCACACGTTTCACATGCGTTGTCAGGGTTATTTACTGCAGCCTAAAAACATAAACGAAACTCGGAGGTGAGACATTTTTGGGGGCGGAAGTTGGTAAGGCTGGAAATAAGGTACTGCATAAAGATTTTTATTTTGTTTACAAAAAAAATAAATATAAAACTAAGTTGACTAACCAAAGTCCGATATCTAAAGAAAAAGAATCAAGTCGAGCATGTGTGTTAGTTCAAGCTTGATTTGATTACAAATCGAGTTGAGCTCGAACGAGGTTTAATCAAGCTTAACACAAATCACTCCATTAGTTTGATCTTTCATACATATTAAATCATTTCTTTTTTTATAATCGAGATCAAGCCAATCTTCATATCTTACTAAACAAAAGGGACCTTACCCACTCGTTTATTTATTAAATTTATTAGCATATGCAAAACAGCAAGAAATTGAAAAATGATCTTAAAATTTTATGTAGATTAACTGAGTTAGTTATAAGGACAGAGTACCTTTTGTTTTCTTCCTTTCGGTGCAGCCTTCAATTTAGAAGCATTTTCCTTCTTTTTGGCATTTTTCTTGTTAACAGCTTGCTGTGGATTCTTATGGTGCATTTTTGTTGCATCGGATTCATCGACTTTCCTCTTAGACTCCGACTCTGGTAAACAATTAGAACCCGACTCCCCAGCATCATTATCTCCCTCATCAAGTTCCTTAGCCTCACCATTTTCCTCTGCCACATAATCTTTCACTGTTTCTGCCTCCTTCGCCACATCAGCTTTCACTGTTTCTGCCTCATCCGCCACATCAGCTTCTGCCTCTTCTTGTCTTTTAGCCCTTCGCCTCCTTCCCCCTTTGTTTCTCCGTGAACCCTTCGTGTCATTGTACTCCATAAACTCCAATTCATCACTATCATCTTCCGCTTGAATTTTCTCAACTGGTGCCTTTGGCTGATTACGCACTTTCTTCTTACCCTTATGCCCAGACAACATAGCTTCAAGCACACTTGTCTCATCATCATCTTCATTATCCACGTCAGCAAAGTCTTTTGCCTCCGTGGGTCCCGTTTTTCCATCATCACTATCATCATCTTCTTGCTTACCGAAACTGTTTTCAAATTGCTCCTGTAACTCATTTACACCGTTTTCATCTGCTGACAAGTAGTGAACCCCGTTTTCATCCACCTCCGTTTCTTCATCTACCGCTCTTTCATTCTCTCCTCCTGCAGCTTCATATTCTTTATCCTCCTCGCTAAATGCTTCCCTCAGTTCTGCCACCTTCTCTTTGTGCTTCTTAGACTGCTCGTGGTTCCTCCACTGTTTGTCGCTCTTGAACTTCTTGCTACAGACCACACAATATAACTCGTCTTTCTTTTCCTCCACCACATCCTCATCCTCGTAGTCATCCTCAAACTCCTCTACTTTCGCCCATTCGGGCTCCTCGTAACTTTGTGCTTTTTCAGCTTTCAGTCTCTCCAGCTCTTTTTTCCTCTGTTTCTCCTCCTCTTTCTTCTTTTCCATCTCCTCGTTCCTCTTTATTTGCATATCAATTACTCGTTTATCTCTCTTCTTCACAAACTCCGCCAGTCCCCTCACTGTATCGTTATACTCTCTCTTAGCCTTTTTCCTCAACTTCTTGTTCTCATCCTCCATTAGCCTCCTCGACTTTCTGTTGGGGCCCGCCATAACATCATACTGGTCTGCCCAGAAGAAGTCCAGTACCGACACAAACCCTAACCAGTAGTTATAGAATGCTGTGACCTGCATAAGAAGAAAGAATATTACAGTTAAAGTCAAGCAGGTATTTATACATGCATTTCGCCAAAGAACAAAGTAACACTTCCATTTTGTAGTAGTAAAATGATAGTGCGGTTTTGGGGGTAACTTGCTAAAAGTTGATCCTATAAAGTAGAAACCGATATACGCGATACAAAAAAGGAGACAGGGAAAACAACATACAAAAAACAGATCTTGAACATTCTACACCAAAATAAACATATATCCTCCTTGCCTTGCAGCTTGAAATGAATGAAACACAAGAAAATATTCTCAGAATAAATTGGTGCACAATGAGAGTTAATAACTAAATTAAAATTAAGCAAACAACACAACTAAGTTTTAGTTATTTAAATGAAACAAAAAAAAATATGTTTCAATAACTACATATGGTGTTGTTTAGTTCATTCGAACCCCAGGGCGCCACAAAACCATATAAGGCAGTAAGATAATGTTTGATTACAGATCACAATTTATACAGCAGTTTGACAAACAGTTTGGTGCAGTGCCATTCAATCGATTTTTCAAATTCCATGATCAACCCTAACATAGAGAACGAGATTATAGATGTAGTTGATACAGAAATGTAACCTAAACTAATAAGAGCTTCAAATAATAGATATTAGCCACTCTGGTGCAGCTTATGTTATTTAGATAGCACGATACTAGGTCTCCAATAAAGCTTTCCATTGTTCTACATGTTCGGAATCAAGAGATTCCATTTTTTCTTTGAAAACTCAATAATCCAGGTCCCGAGTCAGCGTCCACCCAATGCTAAAAGAATGTAGGAAGCCATAACATACCCACACAATCTGAAACGATCTGCTTCAATCAACTACCACTCAGTGCCGTGCAAAACTCTTAATTTAGATGGAGTCTAGTCAAATCCAAACCTGGCTTCCAAGCATATCTATAAATTTACTCCAATTGTTCCGCCTAAAATCAAGATTTTATCTGATTATATTCTTGAGAGCCCCATAAATAGAACTCGTCTAATGTGATAACTGTTAATGGTACATAAGAGCTCACAACATCATAATGAAGACCACCTCATATATGAACATTCATCGGCATTTTATTACTAATTTATTTTTCACTGATGTGAAGGGATCTTTACTTTTCTGTTGTGTTTGGACTTGTTTGTTAACTTCCACTTTTGACTTGTTCTAAGATGATTGTGACTCTTCTTTCTTTTACCTTTTAAATCCCCATCCTTCGCTGAAACTGTTACAAAACCTAAAAGCTATTAGTTACGTAAATGTTCACACTAAACAGTCAGCGAACAGTTCCTAGAACTTCCAATTATTTAAAATTCCTTTTCGAATAGGTTTTTTTTCTCGTTTCAACAATTTTGATAATCTTTCAGGCATTGTTTTAAGTGATGATTCATCAAAAACAACGATACAAAGAGGAGTAATATGAGAAAAGTTAGAACCTACTTTTGGTGTTAACAACATCCACTTAAGATGTTGCAAGCAATAGAGCCGTGGATTAGGTTGCGTCCTTCAATAGATACATACATAATACTCACACAAGACATGGTTAAGGAGGTATTGCAATAAAGTATTTGATTTGATCTAAATCCTTAAAAAATCTTTAGGGTAACTCCAACTCCATAGACACGATTCCATTCTATGTACCCACAGAAATTCCGTTATTCAGTCTTATTAGAGATCAACGTCTTCCTAACATCACACTTGATGAAGAGGCAACTTTCCGATACCCTTCTCAAAATTGTGCTACAAACCTCCAAACATTAAATCTCTTTCATGAGGCAATCACAAATGAGATAACTCCAAGCGTGACCAAGTTATTGACTTATGCAATCCATCGGATAATAAAGAATTTATCCTTCACACTAATCCCGGGGAAAGTTTTCATATCACTGAATAGAAGTATTGTACTTCCGTTTATCACCCTTCTGTATCTTCTAATTCCTATACTGTACAGTTTACACAATACTGAATAAAACCATGGTATAAGTACGGTCAATATTAAACATCACCGCATATCTTTCTCATTTTCCTCTTCATCCTTTTCATTTCTGAAACAAGAAACTTATCTCCTCCACCTTCAGAAACTTGTGGAAATAACACGTAACCATTTCTATGTAACCGAAATCGACTTATCACCAAATAACTTAAGCCAAGTAATATTTAACAAATTCATCCCTATTTATCACATAACACTGGCATCATAATTAATTCTTAGCTAGTAGTTCACCAACTAACTTTAAATACTTACTCAGCTCGGCTCCTAAGTAAATCGGTTAGGTAGCAAATGCACAACTTATTTCCCAGCCAAAATGGCTGAATTTTTTTTTAAGCATCATCAGAAAGAGCAACAAAAAATTATGCACATCCAAATCGATAGCGTGCATATATTGGCAGTTTCAATTTTAGCTCTCCACAATTAACCAAAATTTTCAGTTACGAAAAAAACAAATTGGCAGCGGAATTTTACCTGAGCGTAAGGACTCTCCAAATTGCCCAACACAGGAGCTTCCTTGGGCAGCGGCAACCCTAATTTCTTCGAGAAACTCAATTCATTCTGATAAATCTTATCGAAAAAATCTCCATAAACCTTATAAAACCCCCGCCCGGAGTCCGAATACCCAGAATAAACCGAATTCGAGTAGAACGAAAATACGTCGGGCACGAAACTGGACGAACCGGTGGCGGCGGAAGTGGAGGTGGAGGAGAACAGGATTTGGTTCCGGTGAGAGTCGTACCACGCACGCTCCTTCGGGTCGGAGAGGACCTCGTAGGCGTTGACGAGCTCCTGAAAAAGGGCGGTGGCTTCGGCTTCAGGGACGCCGCTCTGAACGAGCTTGTCGGGGTGGCGCTGGAGGGCCATCCGCTTGTACGCCGACCGGATTTCGTCGGGTGTGCATTCGCGGCCGACGCCGAGGACTTCGTACAGGCATCGCTTTTCGGCGGATGCCATTTTGTTAAGGGGATGGATGATTTATTTTTTACTGTTGGGGTTTCTTTGGTTTTGAAATGGTTTTTGAGAAATGAGATTTGATGTTTATGCAAATATTGTGTATGTATACGTTAGGTCTGCCATTTTATTTCCACCATTTGCTTTTATTTTTTTATAGGGAACTTTTAGAATTTTTTTATAAATGATGTCATAATTTGCTAATCGGGCCTTTATTTTTTGGTTATTTCTATACTACGCTCGATGAAGGAAACACGAGGTGGATTTTTACTATTAGATCTACACATAAATATGAGGATGTATGTGTGTGTTTGTGTGCTTATGCAGGCTATGTCTGGATTGCGAAAAAACGACTAGTAAAACGGTTAAAATGTTTAATGAAAATATTTTCTCCGTTTAGTTGATGGGTAAAACACTAGGACTTTGTTTGATTTGTGGATTTCGAAATGCGGAAAATGAAATTGCAAAAGTAAATGAAAATGCAAGTCTCTAGTATGTTTAGTATCTAAAACAAACGGCGATGGAATTGATTTTCTAGAAAATGACTTTCCTTCAGTTTTGTTTGGAAGGTTTGAAAAAATGATGAAATGAAATGATAATAATTTACCGAGCAATTTTTTCAGGCTTACGGAAAATTAAACCAATTCGGATTCTCCCATTTACCAAAAAAATAAAAAAAAAAAAACTCATTTTCCTTTGTGTTACGTTTTATATACGTGTCTTTTCTGTCTACTCTCGGTTTTTCCCCTTCAATGCCAAATCCAATTCCACAAAATATATTTTAGGCTGCGGCTATATGCAAGACTAATTCCACTTGTGCAAGACCAAATTAAAATTTTCAATGTATAAATACTATAATACCCTTACTTATTAAAAAAATAGAAAATTTCAAATGTGTAAGACCAAAAATTCAAAAATTCAAAAACACAAAAGGCCCTATCACAAGACCACAAAACCACAAGATAAACTCTCATCTTCTCCATCTTCCAAAACCCACAAGACCTTTCTCCTTCCTCCTCCATAAACCCACAAAACCTAGATATTCAAAATCATCAAAAGTCAACAAATCTTACAAAGATGGCAAGTATGGAGTCAGAAGACATCAAAATAGAAGATTCTACGATGGAAGAACCCAAGAGGCAAAAAGCTATGCATTTATCGGTTTTTTAGCTAGAATATCGAATTTCCAAAAAAAATCCCGCGCAAACGAATTCGACATGTACAGGTCGAATTTTACAGGTAAAAATCGACATTTAGATGTCGATTTTGAGGTATAAAATTCGACATTTGAATTTGTACTATAAATTCGACATGTCAATGTCGATTTTTACCTATGCAATTCGACGCTCAAGTGTCGATTTGTAGCATAGTTTTTCGACACCTTGGTGTCGATTTTTACCAGTTTCAAATTTAATTTGTTTTTCCTCTTTTTTTGGGCAGATTTAGGTCACTCGTGATTGTGCATGGCGGGGCTGGTGGCGGCGGCGATCGGCGGTGGAGCTTGGGCGGCGGAGCTTGAGCGGCGGAGAAGGTGGGCGTAGGTAGGGTTGGGGTGGGGGGGGGGGCATTATTTGTATTTGGTCTTGCATAAGAAAAAAAAGCCAATTTAATTTATGGGCATATTTGTCATTCCATCTTAATAAAATAGAATCTTTTGGAATCTTTCTTTAATTTGGTCTTGCACAAGTGGAATAAGTATTGCATATAGCCGCAGCCTATATTTTAATCATCAGAATTCACAACTTTCCCCCATAAAAAAATATCGCAAACCCCTCTAAATATATTCTAGTAATGGATTTTTCGCAATCCGTCGGCACTTCACGGTAGTGTCACGCCGCCATCCACCGCCGTAAAACCACCATTAACCTATCGGTGGCTCCCCCACAATGCCGAGCAACTAATCTTTAGAAAGTCCAAAGTTTTTGTACAAATCTAAAAACAGTCTCAAATTATCCACTCGCTCCACTACAACCAGGGGTTAGGGATGGCAATGGGTACTGGTTTGCTGAGTCTTAGACCCGGAACCGACCCGTTTGGGGTGGGTCTGGGTAAAATGGTTTTGGGTCGGGTAATGGATTTAAGTTTCTAGAATCGGATGATTTTGGGTCGGGTTACGGGTCTTATTAGAACCGACCCGCATAAATATATTATATTTTATAATTAATCTATATATAAAAATTAATTTATGATTTCATTTATCAAACTTTCAATTTGTATTGTGTCTATTCTCATTTACCCATTTTCACCATTTCATTTTTTCGAATCTCATTTCCCGTAAGTAAAATCTATTACTTGTCGACCACCGCTAGTCGTCTTACCTTTTGAACTTTACTTGTCGTAGAAGTTAAATATAATTAATTATATAATTTTATTATTCACTTTATATCACTTGTAGAAGTATTTTAAAATATTGTATTTTAATTTGAGATTATTTTTTTAAGATATAGAAGCAAAATATTATGGAAGTTAAAAAATAATAAACTTTTTTTTTATGTTAACGGGTCTAGCGAATCTGTGGTTCAGAACCGTTTAATTCGATTATGAGTTGGGGCGGGTCTGGGTCTAAGCTGAACTGGGTTGGGGCGTATTTGGGTTTTATGTATTTTTCACGGGTCGGGTCTCGGGTTTAGGCTAACCCGGCCAGAACCGACCCGTTGCCATCCCTACCAGGGGTCTTTCACTATTCACAAATTCAACGGTGATATTTGTTGATTTACATTCTATTAAAGTAAATGATTGATACGGCTCCAATAATCCTAGAAGACCCATTAAGTACAAGCCCAGTCTGCGGCAAGGAACCCACATAATTCAAAGACCAAGCCTAATGAGACTGCCATTAGCCCCATCACCTTTCCCCATGTGGGATAGGTGACTGATAGATGGAACTAGCTTTGCGGCTGAAATCATGACAACAATGATAGAAAGGCCTACAGTGACAGAGACCGAAAAACCATCCATGGGAGACTCGAGAACGATGCGAGCCTAGCATCTAGCTCTCCCTCTATGAGCAAGCTCTCTCTCTGAAAGCGAGTTGACCTCTCACACAGCTAAGACGGCTCGCGGCTCAAGACCGAAGCCCGCCACTGACAAACCAGAAAAATCGGGGGGTCACATCACTCCCAATTAAGGGCATGACATAAATTGAAAAATGATCTCACCACCTAACCTAAATGGCAGGTCACAACCTTGAGGTACAAGAAAGACACATTCTCAATAATACAACACTCTCATATACCCTTTTAATACACATTTCCTCTCTCCACAAGTATTCCGACTAACTTGATTGTCGGAGTCTAACGCCAAAATACTCCTCCCGGTACTCCTTTTTTGCAGGTCCTCTAGGCTTGGCTTGAGCTTTCTGGTTGGGCTTCTCTACCGGCCTTTATCTATTATATCCTCTTGTTGACCATTCTGGTCTCATCAACTCCCACCGTTTGCAGGACATACCCTGAGCTTTGCACGTTGTTAGTGCTACAAAAAGTGCACTAATACGTCTTGTTCTTGTGTTAATTATCCCATGTTCGAGAGTTTTTTGTTAGGTTTTTCATCGTATTTTGTATAATTAGGATTTTATTTGTTTATGTTTGCATTTGCATTATTTTTAGTATTTTGAGGTATTTTTCATGCATGTTATTAGATATGGAATTGAGCATGGAGTAAAAAGAAAGTCAACAAAAAAAAGTCAAGAAAAAGGCCTTGCTATCATGTTCTGTACCAAGCGCGCCCGCGCCTGAATTGGACGCGCGAGAGCACGAGAAAAGAAGTTGCCACGCCGAACTGTACCAAACGCGCTTGTGCCTAAAATGTGCACGCGAGTGCGCATAACTAAATCAGAAAATTTTCAGATTTTACGCATATGGAAAAAAAAGACTATTTGGAGAGTTTTTTTAAAGCCATACAAAAAGGGGATTGGAGCCCTATCATTCGATACAAAAGAACGGGGTGTTTGGGGCGGTTTCAGAGAGAAAAATTGGAGAAATAAGAGTGAGAAGACGGAGAAAAACAAAGACGAAGATTTGACAATTCTTCAATATAGTTTATCTTTTATTCTTATTTTTCTGCACCATGTATCTTTACTATTTTTATTATTTTTCCTTGAACAACATGAGTAGCTAAACTTATAATCTAGGATTTCATTGGAACCATATGTGGAATTTGTTGGATTGAATTTATCTATTATGCAAAGTTTATGGATTATATGTTTCTTCACTCATGTGCTTAATTTATTCATGAATCTGATCAATTTATGATCTATTTTATTGAAGTGATTGACAAATTGCTTTAATTATTTAGAACTATGGGTAGAAGAACTCTCGAGTCAATTTCAGCTAATGGGTGTTCTTGGCATGAATATAGGATATAAATATACCTTTATTCATTAGGTAGCCATTATCGGAATTCGTTCTTAACGCTGCATGTTTTAATCGATTTGCATAGACGTATCGTAGATTGGTTATGCATGTTAGGATTATAATTTATTGCGAAGGTTGTTTATAATTAATCTAGTATTGCAGGTTAATAAATTAATTCATTAGCTTGCATGATTAGGAGTTTTATTTCCAAAAGGTACACATAGGGGAAGACGATATCCTAAGCTTTTTTTCAATTTGATCAAATCCTCCGTTATTTGCCTTTTATTATTTCTTGGTCTTATTTAGTTAATTTTAAGATTCATAACTTAAAAACTCAATTTTGTTGCTTGGATAAAGATAAGTAGCAACAATTTAAGTACTTAGAAGTAGAATATAATTTGCTCCATGTGGGTACGATATCCCGACTCTTCACGAGTCCATTTTATTACTTGTTAATGATACGTGCACTTGCGTACGTGAAAAATCACCAACAAGTTTTTGGCGCCCTGGTGAGCTTACTCTAGAATGGTCAACAAGGTCCCATCCGAAAACCTAGAAGCATGAATGAGAGAAATCATGGATCAATGGGCACATGTTTGCATATTCAAGAGCACGGCCAACCTGCATGGCTTCTTTGACGGCATAAGATGTTTGGCATTCGCAACCACCTTGGAAGGATATGATCAGTTGTGGTA